AGCCTGAAGCACATCAGCGATTTGTCCATTAAGACGATACTTCGAGCCTTCATGGAATAAGTCGCGGAGGCGATYATCAGGAATGATATCGCAGTCGGCTGTAACAACATGGTCGTCGACTAAGTGTGAGCAGTCAGGAAACACTTTCCGACATTGACAGTCTGAGGGGTCAGGCAGGGAGATCCCAGGTGTGACGCTGAGCGCAACTTCCGTGAAATTAGAGAATTGGACTCGAGTTGGCGGCAACAACTTATCACAGATACGAAGGTGTGCTGCGGCATCAGGGTCAGGGTGCAAGTGGAGCACCTGGGGTGCATGCAGGGCTTGTCGCAGCCCCGTTACATGAGACACCTTGTGCATGTGCACAACTTTAATATGATCAAGGAAGGCATCTTGAGACTGAGTTGTGTATCGCTGACCGATATGTTGATACTTCCGAATCGGGCATTCAAGCTGACGGATATGCGCAGTCATAACTGCATTAGAGATATTATTGCTCAACCACTGCAGCAAGCGGGCACGCCAAACTGACGTTGCTTGTTGGATGACAGATTCCATCTGTTGCGAATTGCCAGCAACAGCCTGTGAGAGAAGATTGTGCAATGCAGACCGGACTTGAAAGTCGGGGCCTGGACGCAAATCAATAGGCTGGGGCTGTTGATGGTCTGACAAACGAGGGTTTGTCAGTGTCCATCGATGAGGACGACGTTGTCGTCTTCTTGCAGGCAGGCGAGCAAGCTGTAGGACACCGTTGAGACCAGCTGGATGAAGAGTCCGCAACCGGCGTACCCAATAGGCTTCCCGTGTCGTAGCAGCCCGTCGAAAAAGGTTGCGGTCAACAAGACCTTGCGGTGTATGGTAAAGGGCCGGGTCAATACGTTCCAAGGGCCAGACTGCAAAATTGAAGGGGTTTTGACAAGACATGACACTGTAGAGCAGGCGACGCCGAAACTCCGCAGCAGAACGACGAACATGCCAACGTTCCTGGAAATGTTGATGCGAGGAGTGCATAGTCTGACCTATGTAAAGACGCCCAGAGGGGATATGAACGATGGCGTAGATCACTCCCCGCACAATATATATATATATATATATATATATTGATTGATTGATTGATTGATTGATTGATTGGTTCAACAGAGAGAGAGAGAGAGAGAGAGAGAGAGAGAGAGAGACCACACACACACACACACACACACACACACACAGTTCAATCAACCAATCAATCAATCAATCAATCAATCAATCAATCAATCAATCAACCAATCAATCAATCAATCAATCAATCTATTGATTTGATTGATTGATTGATGGATGGATTGATTGATCGATTGATTGATTGATTGATTGATTATTTGAATTTTATTTTTTTTATCGAATAGATAGATAGATAGATAGATAGATAGAGAGAGAGAGAGAGAGAGAGAGAGAGAGAGAGAGAGAGAGAGAGAGAGAGAGAGAGAGAGAGAGAG